GCAAGAAAGACGGAGCTGCTCAAGAGCACCCACAGCAAGGTGCTCTCGGGTTAATCAGGGCTAATGTCAGAAGCACTCTTTACAGCCAAGTCACACACGTACTCCCAAGAGGTCAGTGGGAAGTAGTCTGTGCAGGGCAGGACGAGGTGATCAGAGGAAAGGAAAGCCCAGGTCAAAGGAGAGATGCACAAAACTAACCCAGCCTGGTGTGTTTCTAGGACAATAATGAGGCCAGCGCTACTGCCTTTATTATACAAACCAGACTGGATGGAGGATGACCCCGGGAAGGGAAATCAAGGTCTGACTGATCACAAAAGGTCTGTGTGATGCCTCCATTGCCCACCACCATCAGAAGAGGAGCTAGAGGCTTAAACAGCTCCACACTGGGAAGCCAACTCTTCAGGATTCAGGAGTTTTGGTTCCTGAATCTCTCTGATTCCCACAGTTTCATCTGTAAAAGCAGAGAATTTTTTTTAAAAGAATCTACTTTATAGAGTTGCTTTGGGGACGAGTGCTAAGAACGAGGCTGAGGACATTTTATAGCCAACCAATCTTAATGATAGATTTTTATTTTCTGTAATGATTATTGCTAAGCCCCTATTTTAAGGCATAGCATAACTGTAACATTTTATTATGGTTTGGATTTTTGTTTGTGTGATTTCTTTTGAGACAGAGCCTCCCTATATGGCCTGAAACTATGATGCTCACTGTGTCACAGCCTCCCAAGTGTTGAGACTACAAGTGTGTACTGACTCACAGCTTTTAGCTTATTCTCTTAACTATCGAAACTTATTGCACCAACTTGTTCCCAGGCTACTTTTTACAAGCTGATGCTATAATCCCTTGCCATAGCAGCCACTTGGTGTGCACGCCATGTACTGACAGCTGTGCCCTTCTCACCAGGACCATGTGGCAACATCTACAGCTGGAGAGGTACAGAGAGGGGAATTCCTGTTGCTCAATGGCCACCCAGCCTGCTTAGCGAGCTCCAGGTTCATGGAGAGACCCTGACTCAAAAATAAAACAAGGTAGATGGTATTTCAGGAGTGACACCTGAAGCTGACTTCTGGCATCTACACGCATGTGCACACATGTGCTCTGCATTTGGGTGCGTACACACAGATATTTTGATGTAGTAATACATTCTCTGTCCCCTAGATTCCCTCAAGGGAGCAACACTGTTGGTTCCTATCTCACAAGGAAGAGCCATAAAGGGATTCAGAGATTGGAACCAGGCCTCCACTGATGTTCTGAGTCTCCATCGGTGACTTGAGAACTCCACACAGCAATCACATACATCCTTCTCTGATGGAAACAGCCTTCCACCCACAACCCCATTTTACTCTCCTTTAAGGCTTTTAACTAACCCCATCTCCTCTCTGAGTTCCCTCCCCCCCACTTGAAGTATAAGTAGCAAGTTTTGTGAACTTCCCCGGTGGCCCTGGAATGGAAAAGAGATGTGGCCAGTGTTCTGTGTGCACTCAGTTCCCTACAGCTCTCGTGGAATTTTCACACATCTTATTTCACAAGGCGGGAAAGGAAGCCGGAGGGCTGTTTGCCTCAACAATGAGCCACTAGTAGGAAGAATCATAACCACATTCAGACGTTCCCAGTGTCTTCTCAGGCATGCTACCTCTCTTCAGTGCCTCAACATCCTGTCGGTTACATCCACATCCACTTAGGTTTGCTCCTCCCATAGGAGTCCAGAAAGTCCTGCTTTAGGAACCAAGATGGATCATTTTTATCCATGTTTACAAGTTCCTCAAGGGAACTAATGTTGACAAAACAGGCAAGGATCCTGGAAAGATGTCGAAGCGGTAAGAGCACTTGGTGCTTTTGTGGAGAACCCTAGTTCAGTTCCCAGTACCCGATCCACAACCACCTACAATTCCAGTGCCAGAGGATCCAACGTCTTCTCCTGTCCTCTGTGGACACACAGTGTTGTACATGCATGCAGGCAAAACAATTATACCCACAAGCAAGAATAAGTAAATCCTTTTGAAAGACAGCGCAGACAAGGCCCTCACGGAGCTGGCACTGGTTGGTTGGTTTGGCTGCAGTGTTATTGTTGGTGCCATGTCAGGTGTTAAGAATAAAGCCTTACACAGACGTCCTGGATGGGGGCTCATTTAGAAGAGCAAATGGATTGAGAAATAAGCTTACAGAGACATAAGCACTCCTCCAGCTTAGCACAACCATGTAAGCAGTCCATCCAGAGGAGCCGGAGGACCACGGGCTTCCAGAATGAGGCTGGGTAATCCACCACCACGTGAGAGACTGGGGTGTCCCCTGCTAGTTCACAGCCTGCACGGCTCTGCACTGCTGGGTTGCTGTCTCCTAAGCTGTTTTACAACACTGCCTGACCCACAGGTTCTGGCGTGGGAATACTGAATCAGAAAAACTGGGATCCAGTGTGTGGAAGATCATCGGGGCTGCAGGGTTGGAAGCAGGAAGGTTCCCTCTTATGGATGGGACTTGATGGTGTTTCCAACTTGTTTATTCTCTGAATTGTCATTTGTCCCTAGTGAGAGGTCAGCTCTTACCAGCCTATGTAATTGGGCTCTGGGGGCCTGACACAGCAGCCACGCACTAGGTATAGACTAAGCGATTGCAAACACATGCCTATATGGACATCTCTCTGTGTATATAGATGATACTATCCCAGGTTCATCAACAAGTTTGTCTCTCTCCTCACAGAAATACACAGTGTCTATACGTGCACACATCTGCGCATCTGTGAAGATGTCTAAGACCTAACAAAGGTATGTGGTTGCCGAAGAGCGGACTCTATAATGTCACAAAGACCTCTGAGTCACCTGTCTATCACAAACACACACTCACACCCATCAACTAATCATGCAGATGTTTAAAAACTGAGGACTTTTATAAATGCTCAGGGTTTTTAGTTTAAATTTCTCAAGTCTCTCTAAACTCTTTGTCTCTGATTAGTTTAATCGGTTTGAGCAAGGAGAAAAGCACAGACAAGCGTGTCTATAAATGTGACAGGCGACATATTCAGAACTCCTCCAGGCAGGCCAGATGTCCTCTCTACAGTGGCAACATGTGCAGGAAGTTAGAGTCTATGATGAGCACACACTGGCCATTCTCTGGCTTCGCAAGGTACCAGAAACTAGTACCAGACCACAGCCCAGCCCTGGGAAGGACATCTTATTGTCAGCATCTTATCAATAAGAAAGTCAAGATTCCAAGAGCTGAGTAACTTGCTGAAGAGACTATGCCCTCCTGTGACACAGGCATTGTGCAAACTCTAGACTCTAATTTGAAGTTTAAGTTGTTTCAATGAAGTAAGTGCTTCTCGCACACTTTTACAGGCACTGATTTTGAAGGATGTGTGCTTAGGCACATTTGATGGTGTATGGACTTCACCTAAGTCATTCTCTGAACACAGAAAGCGAGTTAAAGGATGAAGATCCCCCACACACGGGTTAAAGACAGTAACAAGTAGGCACATCTCAGAGACCATTCTCCTGTGTTTATACACTATGAAGCCCTTTGCACTTGGCCAAGTCTGCTCAAAGAAATCTATTTTCTAACAAGATGTGTGTGTGTGTTTTCTAACAGGTATACAAACATACACACACACATATATATGTATATATATATATATATTCCTTCATGGCAAGCCAGTGGGACATTCTTAACTCATTTCTATCCATTTCTCAAACAGAAAAATGCCTTCAGTCTGTAAGGAGTCGCTGGGGGTGTGTGCATTCCACCTGCCTTAGAGCTCAAAGGTCAGCGGTGTGACAGTGAGAGTCAGTTCATCTCTGACTTTCAAGGGCAGTGGAATTATTTTCAGAACTTCTGACAAAGTGAAGAAAGTGGTTGGGGGCTGAGAAAAAGATAGAGTTCCTTAATCTGAAAGAAAAATGTCAGCTGCCTTCATCTAGATTCTGGAGGAACCATTTAACCTCTGACCTAAGGAGGGAAATTATTTATTTTTAAAAGATTTTACTTTAGATCATAAGCCCGGTGGGAAAGGTTTCCATTGGCTCTTGCCTGACTGTGAACTCCTCCCTCAGACTATCAGAAGAGGCCAGCTAGGCAACAGGGCACCAGGGGCTGAGGTACAAAGGCACTGCCCTCAGGTCATTCAGTCAGCTGGGCTGGTCAATCGGTTCCCCAACATTCCGGTAATAAGCACTCCAAGGTAGCCACCCAACCCCTGCTGTAACCCTGTCTCCTGCTCCTTAAATAAAAACCTCCCCTAAGAGGAGAAACTACTAGCTCTGCGCTGACCCTACTTCAGACCTGGCCTTGGGTTTCATTTGTTTTCTGATTTTAAGCGCTTCTGTCACATGCATGTCCCAGAGTCTGAACTAAGAAAAAAAAAAGAAGAAGAAGAAGCCAGGCACCTTTTTGAAGTGGTAAAGATTCTAGTGTCTGCACTTTGTCTTAGGTAGTGAATGACCTTGGGCTAGTAACTTGTTCTACCAAAAAACTGACCAGAAGAGAAAATATATCATCAAAATGTTGTTGAAATTTCAACACAAAAGTCACGCGGTTCCGGCACTTAGTAGGTGATGGCACACTGCACAAAGCCGGGGCAGAGGGCAGGGGGGGTCACAACGACATGGCTGGTTTTCAGGTGTTCCTGACTTGCCTATAATTCCAGCGCGTTTGATTTGTTACCATTTGCCCTCCGAACACCTATTAACCTATTTCTAGCTTACTTCTTAGCACCAAACCATCTGCGGAGTCCAAGAAATAAATTCTCTGAAAGTAGCAGGGATTAAGTTGTTGCCCTTCCCACCGACCGGAGCTGGGCCAATTGCAATGGAACGCGGACTTGAAAATAACACATGCAAAGGTATCTGATACACCTCTTGGGGGTAAGGGATGGGACAGAGACCCTGACTTAAGTTGCTAGGTTGGGCATGGTGCAGAGGGAGCAGGACAGGGAAGCCTCACAGATGACCCTGTTCTCTGCACACTAGTAGGAAGAGATGCTGGAGGGAGCAGTGTCCAGTCATAGGTACCTGAAGACCCTAGCGGCGGTCTGGTTCCTCCTCCAAGCGGTGCGCTGTGCCAGCACTCCTTGTATGATCTCCTTCTCATTGGGTAGCCGGTAGACAGGGAAGACGTAGAGCCAACAGAGTACCACCACACAGAGGGCACTGGCTCCCACGGGTAGCCGGGTACGCGGGAACTTCCATGCCAGTATGGCCATTGCCCCTCTGGATGTGTGTAGCCGGGCCCGCCCGCAGGGGCCCATCACAGTCTCAGAGTCCCAGAGTCGGTGGTGGGAGCCTCAGCACAATGCTAGGTGAAGTGGCAGGGGAAGGTGTCCCCACGGCCGGTCCCCCATGCACACACACCTTTGGCTTTCTTGTATGCACTGCTGGGGAACCCCCACCACGGTCCCAGAGGTCAGTTACAAGGATCTTCTCCAATGCAACTTTTCCCACGGATTTCTTGCTAGAGGAAGTGGCCCCCGGGTAAGTCACGAGCCATGGTCGTTTTCCCTGCAGAGGCGAGTGCTGGAGGGGTCTGGAGGAGAGTAGTGGGGTTGGCTGCTACCGCCCTTACAGTCGCCCTCGGCTGAGGTCCTGAAAGAGGTGCCGATGGCTCCGGGACATCTGACCCACTGTGTCCCTTTCAGAAAGAGATGCTCTTGCGCCCTGCACCGCCCTTTCCCCGCCTCCTGCGCCGCCGCGGTGCGGTGCCCGGCACCCCTCAGACGTGCTCTCCCCGCCGCTCCAAGTCCTTGGAAATTTCCACGGCGGCGGCCCGGGGACCGCTACCCAGCCCCCAGTGCTTCGGTCTTGCCCGCCGCCGGGACCCTCGCTCCACTCCCCTCCAGAGCAGGCTGAGAACTCGCTCTCATCAGTTCATTCAGAGTCGCACCGCAGCCTTCCGCTGCACCCTGGACTCTGCAGACACGCGCCCCTGGATTGGTGGAAATCAAGGTCTCCCCCGCCCTCCCCCACCCACGAAATTGCCTCTCGCGACCGGCTTGGGGCCGCAACACTAGCCCAGGGCGCAGGCCCCTCGCCGCTGCCCTTGTTCTCTGCCGAGAGAAGCAGACAATAAGAACAACGGCCCCTCTGGTGCATGCATGCACACATACACACACACACACACACACACACACACACACATATATATATAAACTGGGGATCCCCCCACCCTGCTTGCTCGGGCTTCTGTCACCTTCGCCTTTCTGCAACTGATTGGTTATAAACGAGCAGCGAGGAGGCTGGAGAAGATTTATTCCTTCCTGAGCTTCCTTAACCAGATCAGCCCGTCCGCGAGCTATGATTCCAGGCACGCACGCGCATACACACACACACACACACACACACACACACACACACACACACACACAGAGAGAGAGAGAGAGAGAGAGAGAGAGAGAGAGAGAGAGAGAGAGAGAGAGAGAGAGAGAGAGAGAGAGAGAGAGAGATGCTGGCGGGCACGAGGGAGGTGCGTGCACACCGGGGTCCGCCACCTTGCCTCAGCCCTGTAGAGAGCAGAGCTGCATCCACACGTGCAAGTGGTTGGTGCCCCAAGCAGCAGACCTTGGGGGAGATAACGGCTCCCCTGCCTCTGTAGATTAAAGAGCTGTTTATTCTTAAAAGACTGCAGTGGCAAGCTTATCACAACCACGACCTTGGAAAAGTGCCACCCGCCTGGACCCGCCTAGTGGAGGGACGCACTGTAAGCCATTTCTGCTCGCCCAAGCAGGAGACAAAAAAGCTCGGTACCTCCTAGCGGCTGCCTATTCTATTTGCTTAAGCATCCTGTACAAGGACAAAGAAGAAAGTCTGCAGCCTCCAAAACCAGCCAGCTTAGTCATCACCAAGCCAAAATCTCAGACCACCACAGTTCCATTTGTTCAGCTGTGAGCAACATTCTAGACGGTCCATACCGAATACTTTGTGCCCTACCGTCTTCTTCTAGTACCTTCCAGCACAAAGACGTGAAACTTGAGACGTTGGTGCAGTTATTTACCAAACACGGTGGCTGTCAATCTACCAACACCATTATGCTTTTCTTAGGAGGACCGCGAGCAGGCAGCCCCCAGAGCGGAACCTAGCATGGATGAGTTAAAATAAAGATTGCCCTTGCTGCTGGAGAGAGCCTCCTAAACCAGAAGCCTGCTGCTTTTGTGGAGGACCTGGGTTCAGTTCCAAGCTTACACAGCAGGCAGCTACCAGTTCTGCTCTAAGAGATGTGGCAGGCTCTGGGACACCTACATACATTCGCATACCTCCACACAGTCACAGACACATAATTCAAAAATAAAATGAGGGCCGGGTAGCACACGCCTTTATTCCCAGCACTCGGGAGGCAGAAGTAGGTGGATCTCTGTGAGTTCGAGGCCAACCTGGTCCATAAGAGCTAGTTCTAGGACAGGCTCCAAAGCTATAGAAAAACCCTGTCTCGTAAAATTATTTTACAAAAATAAAATAAAATGAGGATCCCTCCCCACTGTATTGTAGGAAGGAAGACAAGATGGGACGTGTCCCACCTTTCAAGGGTTGTTGATACATCATCTAACACTTTCCCTCCCTGTAACTTAAACAATGCACAAATGATCCCAACTTCTCTTTATCCAGCTCCCCATAGAGCTGAGGAGTAAAGGAAATACTAACAAGCAAAGGGTCACAGAAGTGTCATGAGGACCTCTGAAATGTATCATATTTAGTAGTGCCTTGCGATGTGAGTACATTGTGCTGTTATCTCTTCTTACTCTTTTCCTACCTGTAGTCAGATTTGATTTTATTTTACTCCCTGGTTCTCAGTAGCATTAACAATGGCTTCAGCGGTCTTTCCTTTAGTTCTCCAAGTCTTCAGTGCACCATGTCTGTCAGGGTATAGTGACCACACAGACTTGAGTATGCTTGTCCCCCTCCTTACAAATCTATTGGCTCATTTAAGGTCGAGTGGCCATTAGAGTCTCCCTCAACAATGTGGCGGCCCCAGACCACCCAAAACACCAGCTTTCAAGCCAGCAAGGCAGTTCAGTGGGTGAAAGCACTTGCCATCCAAGCCCAAAGTCCCTAGAACCCATCTTATATGGAGAAAGTTGGTTGCTGAAATGTGCCCTCTGACCTCCACATTCACGCCACGGCAGGCTCACACCCACGCATTCATCATACACACATACACAATAACAATAATGATAACAATAAATTGAAATAAAAATAAGGCAGGCTTTGTAGTAGATATGCTCAGTGAGTATTTTTGATTCCTTTTCCCATTTCCCTTGACCTACTCTGAATATTTCTAGAATTTTCTGATTCTGATAAATGATTAATCTCTCAGTTGAGTTTTTCTGTTGTAAGCATTTTCCATGCAGAACTCTTCCTCAGTCTCTGGGTAGCGAGACTGTTTGCTTGTTCCGCACTGGAAGTCGCCAAGCTGTGTTTACACGACTGGGGGAGAGCAGGGAAGACAGTGTTCATTCTTCATGTTTGCCCAACTGCCAACTCCAGCCTAGTCTCAGGCCAACTCAAGAAATAACTGTTTCTTGAGTCAATAAAATGTCCAGCCTCAAAATTACTTGGGCCACTGCTAACTCAGCACCATTTAAGGCAAAATGTAGCCTCCTGCATCTCAGTGTTTGAAATTAGATATCTCACCTGACGTCCGGGGGCACTTTATTTAGCTGGCTGTCAGCAAGGAGGTTAAGATTCTGTTGTGGTCCGCACCTGAGTGTGTAAGGAACACATGCAGGGTGTGTTTGTGAGATAAAAGGCATTTTAAACTCTGTGAACATTTCCTAGACTGAGCCCTAGTCTCTGTCAGGCTAGCCTTGCCCAAATCCCATGCGTTACTTCATAAGCCCTGAGCTGTGCCTTCCAACCCTAAAATAATACCTGTTTCATTATTCTGTGTGTTGGTTACCAGGTGGCAAAGCTCCCAACTCAAGCAAGATAGAAGAGGAAGGACCCATATTGGCTTGTGGGCAAAGGGGTTTAGTCTTCTGGGGCCAGGTAAGGTGGGTCATCATGGCAGCTGCTCCCAAAGACCTACTTCCTTTAAGTACACCCTACTTCCTGGCTTTCGCTTCCTCCCAATAATGCTATTATATTATGAATTTATGAACAGAATTAAACTTTTGATTAGGTTAGAGGCCTAGAAATGTCATCACAGACACAGAGGGTGATTCACTCCTGCCCTATGCATCCCTTGATGGGATCAACTTGACAGTAAAGATGAACCATTGTATGATGAGCATATATGACGTAACGTAACCCGCAGCAAAGCACAGCCACCATTTCACCGTGCCTCCAGTCCTTTGGTTGCGTGTTTTGTTTGGCTGTATGTGCTGGTTTATGCGTATGCGTTCATACACATGTGTGAGACCCAAGAGCACCACCACTGTCATTCTGCAGGCACCATTCAGTGTGTTTGGGGGGTAGAGCAGCTGCCACAGGCCTAGAACTTGACAGTGGGTTAGGAAGGCTGCCAGTGAGCCCAAGGGCTCTGTATATCTCCTTCCTTCCAGCATTGGTATTACAAGAGGGAGCAGCCACACCCAGCCTGTCTAACATAATGACCTCCACTTTCATTTGTGTTGCCAAACGTGACAGAATTCCACTACTTTCTTTTCTTTTCTTTCTTTCTTTTTTTGTTTTTGCTTTTGTTTCTGTTTTTCAGCTTTGAGACCTGTCCTGGAACTAGCTCTTGTAGACCAGGCTGGCCTTGAACTCACAGAGATCCGCCTGCCTCTGCCTCCCAGGTGCTGGAATTAAAGGCGTGAGCCACCACTGCCCAGCAGGCTTTCACTCTCTTAATGGCTGAGTAGTACTCCATTGTCTACCACACTGTCTATCTCTATCCGTTCACGGACATTTGGGAAGTTTCCATTTCTCCGCTGCTAAGAGCTGTATCAGCTGCTGTAGAGTAAATAGCAGATCAAAACTTGGTCTCTCAGGTTGACAACTTCAGGTGTGAGACCTCACTTTCCACCTCATCTGAGATGGCCTCCTGTTCACCACTGAGTGTGCCCTACTTCCAGGCCTTCCAACGAATGTCCAGGATCCTCTGGACTCCACCGCCAATCTAGCCGTGGGAACCCAGGGATCACACATGTGTGCCATCGTAACCACCGTTTGTGCCCGGTGATGAGCTGAGCTCAGGTCATCTGAGTGTCTCTAGGGCATCCCCCAAGCCCTTAGATACCTTTAGAAAAATAATCAGAAAAGACAGTAGTCCCCGGAACAAGAGATGGGGAAGAGAGAAACACGGGGAGATGTTAGACCAAAGAATGACCAAGTCTAGACAGCTAATCCAGCATAGATGTTAGACCAAAGAATGACCAAGTCTAGACAGCTAATACAGCATAAGACTATATTAACTATAGTTAATAGAACTGTATTAGAGATCAGTGTGAAACAAACTGATTGTAGTGGCTCATGTCACCAAGGAAAGCAGCGACATACGATGATGTGAGACTTTGTTTTATTATGTGATTCATCCACTTTCTCTGTGAACCCCATAATGTGTTAGAAGCCTCAAATACAGATAATAAAATGTATTTAACGATAATAAATTTTTAATTAAAACCAGCAATTCAGGGTGTGTGTGCTAATTCTTAATGGCTTGCCTCACAGCCATGCTCTCTGTCCTGCAGGAGAAAATTAGTGGGTGATTTGTATAAACTAGTTTGTTTATCGTGGCCCAAATCAATCTGTGAAGGCCCTATCATGGCAGTCATGGGGGCAACCCAACAGACCAAGAGAGTGGCTGTCGACACAGCCTTGGTTAGGTAAACTTTCTCTGTCCCAATCTTTCCAGAATCTTCTTCAGCGAAAGCTTCCCTTTTCATGGGAGGGAAGGATAGACATTTGGCACCACTTCCTCTATGGGGTGGTTGAATTCTACAGTATATCCTGATGATGTGATAAACTTGGGATT